TGGGAGGTGCCGTGGGTTAATAAATAAAGACTGAACTCACCATCTGCAGCAGAAGGAGAAAAGATGAACTGAAGTTTTGGCGTGTTCAGTGATGAAAAAAGGAGCGGGGAGAAATCCATGATGGGGTGGGAGGGATGAAATGGAAGAGCGGCCAGAGGAAGTGCTCTCACAATAATTAACTTTCTGAGCGTGGCTGCAGGCTGCAGGCCAGATGAAAGTCTGCTTTTCCAGCACATCTCCAGGGCAGGGGCTGTCCCAGACTGCTGGGGTTTAACACGGGGACAAAGAAGAAGGGACAAATCTTGTTCCTGCAGGGAGCCCAGCTCTGTGGGGCAGGGATGCTCAGAGCCAAAGGCATGAAAGAGGTGAAATGCATTTCCCAAAATTGACTGGAATAGCAGCACATGCTGGTTGTAGACTTGCAAAACCAGCACCAATTACAAATTATAAATTGATTTTATTTTGTTTTCTCCTCTCCAGTCTCTTCCCACCTTTTTTTTCACCTCTCTTTTCCCTCTGACAACTTCTTTTAATGTCTAAGCCAAATTACTCTCAGGAGAGACATCTCCGCTGATACAGAGCACGGGCAGAAATTCCATGTCAGCTCCACCAAGTCAGAGTCCTGCTAATAATTACACTGCATTTTTGGATTGTTTTTTTTTTTCCTGTGGCATCTCTGGGTTTTTTTGCTGTTGCTGCTAAATATCTGATATCTACCTTAACCTGCCCAGGAAAACAGGTGTGGATGGTTTGGGGATTAAAGCTGCTGCTGAGTCCTGGATAGGGAGGGACTTAGTTCTGGTTTTAATTGTGAATAAAGAGATTTAATAGAGCTGGAGATGCCTGTTGGAGTAAAAGCATCCCTGGGTGTGTGGCTGTAGAGAGCTGAGCCTTCCAGGAGTGGGGTGAATCTGGGATCTTTAATTTGCCCAATACCAAAACTTTTGCCTCTATTTTCCTTCTTGTCATTGAGCATGGGGTATCCCTTTGTTCTTCAAAAGAACACAGAGAAACCAATGCTCCATGAGCATCCTAGAAGCATTTTCAAACTGGAATTTATTTTTTTTTAGTTTTTTTTTTTTATTTACTGACAAAGACTTGTAAACAGTTGGTTTGCAGAATTTCGCCAGAGGAAATTTCTGATTTCCTTCTGGTCTGAACTGGAAGAAGATGTGGTAAAAGGTTTCAGTTTGTTTTTTCTCAGGTTGGGGGTGGTGGGGGGGGGGGGGGGAAGAGATACTTAAATACTTAAAATATTATTCTGTGTGTGAACATTTGACAGAAGAAAGAACAGATACTGCAGATAGTGCTGGGTGACTGCTGCAGTGTTGTTAAACTGTGAAATAACTTTGATAGCGACCATCGGCGAGCGTGTGAACCTGATCTTTAATTAGAGGTGTTGGCCACAGAGGGCTGAGCTGGCCCAGGGACTGCCCTGGCTCTGGAACTGGTCCTGCAGCTCTCTAAACCAGCTGATCACCCCATTTATTCCATTTTTAGAGGGTCCTGGTGGGTGCCAGCAAAGGGATTCACCCCACTCCTGTAAGGTGAATCCACCCACCTGGGGATGCTCTTACCCCAACAGGCATCTCCAGCTCTATTAAATCTGTTTATTCACAGTAAAAACCAGAACTAAGTCCCTCCCTAACCAGGATTTAGCAGCAGCTTTAATCCCAAAACCATCCACACCTGCTTTCCTGGGCAGGTAAACAGGTGAGGGGTGGTTGGGTGCTGTCCCCATTTTGGGCTGTGATGCCAGGGGCTGCCCTGGCTCTGGAACTGGTCCTGCAGCTCTCTAAACCAGCTGATCACCTCATTTATTCCATTTTTAGGGGGTCCTGGTGGGTGCCAGCAAAGGGATTCACCCCACTCCTGGAAGGCTCATCCTCACCCAGGGATGCTCTTACCCCAACAGGCATCTCCAGCTCTATTAAATCTGTTTGTCCACAGTAAAAATCAGAACTAAGTCCCTCCTTATCCAGGACTTAACTGTATCTTTAATCCCAAACCATCCACACCTGTTTTCCTGGTAAAGGGCAGGTAAAAGTTGACATCAGATGAGGGGTGGCTGAGTGCTGTCCCCATTTTGGCCCTTGGCCCGTGGTGCCAGGCTCTGTTTGCGGAGGGCAGCGAGGGTGTGTGAGAACAGCAGCTCAGGTTCTCAGGCTCTCACAGCACCTCTTTCTCTCTCGTTTTGATCTGTCAGATTTCACACCCCCAGCTTGGGTTTTAGTGCCCCTACGCAGATAAAACCACAGAGTTTCAGGTGGCTTCGGGCTACGGCAGAACCTCCTCCAGAGGCACAGCTGGTGAGCAGGACCCTGCAAAACGAATTTCAGCTGAATTTTGGGCTTTCTTCTGTCATAGTTGAGATGCAGACAATTAAAAAACCAATTTTCTGAAACTTCAAAACCGTTTTTATTATAGCATGCATGCTTTTTACACATTCTTAAAAACTCTAAGTTTACACTTTACTCATTGGTCATGAGAGACAAAGTGCTTGGTTTCTCTTATCTTTCTTTCTTTCTGGAACCTAGAATAGACACTTGCAGGTTTCTCTTATTTATCTTCTTTTCCGGAACCTAGAATAGACAATTGCAAGTTTCTCTTATTTATCCTTCTTTCTTTCTTGGTTTTTATGTCAACGACCTTGGTAGAAAATTCTTTCAGGGGTAAGGATGGATCCTCTTATCAAATTTCTCTCTGGCTCACAGAAATCACTGTAAAACCTCTTCCATATTCCCCAAGCTCTCTGCCCAGGGCAGAGGGTTGGAACTAAATGATCTTTAAGGTCCCTTCCATGCTCAATGGCCCCTCAAACAATTCTAGAAGATGAAAGGGACCATCTGTAAGATACAGCTGTGAAATTAAAGATCTTACCTTATTTGTGTGCCTTGGATTTGCCATCTTGTGTTCCCAGGGCCACTGGATGTCACCAATTGCTGGCACTGGGAGGTTTGTGGGCTGCTGGTTCCTCAAACCACTACAAACTCTGCCCAAACTCTTCAGTGCCTTCAGACCAGCTGAGCATCGATTATTTGTTTCATTTGGTTTTCCAAACAGTTTCCCT